ATCGCAGCTGTCGTGGGCCTCTGCCTCACACCGCAGACGCCCGCCGAGCCATCGCTGACCACGGCCACCGTCGAGGTACAGGTCGTCGAGCTCGCACGTCGCATCATGGGCTGTCGTAGTACGATGTCATTATCGTTGGCGCGGGCCCAGCGGGCTCCGTCCTCGCGAGCAAGCTCGTCCAGGCGACCAACTGGAGCGTTTTGCTCTTGGAAGCCGGCGACGCGTCCCAGCGCGAGCTCGGCGGCGAGGTCCGTTCGCCTACGCCTAGCTCTGGATCTCGGATCGTTGCGTACTAGTCGTTTATCTCGTTCGAGGGAAAAGACATGCCGTACACGCCGTTTGATGTGCCGTACTACTGGAGCGACGTCTCGCGCATGGCGAGCTTCCACTGGGACGTGCCCGGCGTGTTTGTCGCCAAGGCGCTCGGCGGCTGCGGCATCCACAACGCCATGCTTTATGGTACGATTGGATCGACCACAGGTAGGTGCCATGTCGTGGCTCTTAGTGCGTGCGCTACCCAGCGACATTGCTGCGTGGGGCCTCGCGCCGACGTGGACATGGGCGACCGCGCTCGCCATCTACTTGGCGACCGAGGCCTTTGACGGACCACGTGTGGCGCACCACGGCTACGATGGCATTGTCCAAACCAGTATGTGATCGATTTTAAGGACGAACGTCACGCAGCGTTGTAGGCGCGCCGGCGCAGATTGACGGTCTCTCGAACCAATTCCTCGCCGCCTGTGCCCAAGTACAGTCGTTGTTTTGTTGCTACTAGTATCTCATAGCGGGTGATTCCACGTAGCGAGGCATCCCAGCGTCGAGCGACTTTAACGCACCTGACCAGCGTCTTGGCGCCGGCATCTACCACTTCAACATTCGCCACGGCATGCGCGAAAGTGCGGCCAAGGTACTTTACATAATCCTTGGCCTTTCTAGGCTCAATCCCTGAGCTATTAGGCGTTCCTGGGGCCGTTTATCAACAAGAAGCTCGACGCGGCGACGCGCGCGCGTCTGCATGTGCGTCTCAACACGACCGTCGAGGTACATTTTTCTTTTTGAAATTTGCTGAATTTTTTGGTGCAGCGGGTCTCGCTGCAGGACGGAGTCGCCCGCGGCGTCCACGTCCGCGCCGCCCATGACGAGCTCCAATTCATTGCGAGCAAGCGCGGCGTCGTGCTCACGGCCGGCGCGATCCACACCCCCAAGCTCCTCACGCTATCAGGTACTAGTACGACGTCCAGGGCAATTCACCAAGACTCGAGATGGCGCAGGGCTTGCGGCCAAAGAGGTGTTGCGCGACCTTGGTATTCCCGTGGCGGTCGATTTGCCGCTCGTGGGTAGAAACCTCCAAGACCACCCTGCGATCGCCATGACGTATACGGTACTTCATGCTCTTTGTGTCGAGTCTTGGCTATCGAAACGGATGATCAGGCGAGCCATCCGCTCAACATCAACATGACGTATAGCGCTTGCGTGCTTGGACGGCGTTGTGTATGTATGACGTGAGTAGGATGGCGTGGGACGACTACTTGACGCGGCGAGGCGGCTGGCTGAGCACGACGGGGCTCTCGGTTGGCGCCTTTTTGCGACGCCGGGAAGCACGGTGCCCGACCTGCAGCTGACGTTTTTCCCACGCAAGTCGGAGCCGCAGTGGGCCACGACGCCGGGCGACGAAGTCCTTTTCACGATCGCACTCTTGAGTAGGGTTGCGAGAGGTGAAATCGAGGCTATGTCATTGGTTTATACTAGCGCCCGAAGCGCGCAACCAGGTTGTGGTCACGTCGCGCAACGCGTCCGTAGCCTGCCACGTCACGAGCGAGATCCCCGAGGCGGCGAGCGAGCACCTGAGCGAGACCGACGCGCGCAAGCTGCTCTTTGGCATTGCCATTGTCCGCGACTTGGTGCAAGCCCCGGGTGCGGCTCGGGTTCTGTTCTAGGGCTAGGGTTTACCGTGTTGGTAGCATTGGCGCCGCTGCTTGGGGGCGAAAGCATGCCGGGCGCCGCCATTGCCTCGGACGACGGTGCGCTCCTCGCGTCTGGCTTTGTTATAACAAACACGTGGGAGATAGCGCTCTTGGCGTGGGTCTTTGCCAACGTGTACCGCAACTCGCATTGGTACGACGAGGCTTTGTCATGGTATAAATTACGACGGACTTTAGGGTCGGGAGCGCCAAAATGGGGTCGAGCCCAATTGACAGCGTTGTTTCGCCGTCGCTCCGTGTCTGGAACACGACCAACCTCTTTGTTGCTGACGCGTCCGTGATTCCCGTGATTCCCAATGGTACGAGAAGTGGACACGCCGAAAGTTGATTGATTGATACACTACTAGGCAACGTCCATTCGACCGTCGTCATGGTGGCGACCCATGCCGCAACGCTCGTGGCCGCGGCCTTGGCCGACCAGGCGACCGTTGCCTAGTGCCAAGACTTCCATGCGCTTGAGATCCGAATACACCTGCACACGAGTTGGCGTGTCCGAGTCTTGCTTGGTGTGCTTGTCGTGATGCTGCAAAAGAGTGGAAGAGACAAAAGTGTATAAGAGTAGAGTCATTTCTTGATCTTGTATATCACAACAGCGCTCTACCTTTTTGAATCAAACAACCAAGACGCCGGCGTTGTCTACATCGTATGTACGCTGCCGACGGTCAACGCACCGTTGATGTATGGCGTCCTAGCAGGTAGAAAACGAGAGAAATGAATATACAGCGACTCAATGTGTCATGGATACATAGGTCGCACTTGTTGCCGTCCTCAGTGCCACAACGTCGACTACAGTGCGAGCGCTTTCTACACATCATAGGATGATCTTGTCTTGCGACTCGCATCAGCGCTGCGGCGCACCTTGCTGCTACCACCGCGCGGGGGCCCATCTACCAATCTACCACCTACCAGAGACGGCGCCGCAGCTCCAGCGGTGTCCGACCATTAGCTTGCGTGGCACCGACTGCATCTTGGTCTGCTATCGCGATGAGAAATTGCACGAGCGCTTGCGGCTGAGTCTCCTCACCAACATGAACGCCGCCGCGCTCGAATGAGGCCACCAAGTTTGTCGTCCACGAGCAGCTACTAGCGTCGGCAAAGGATGTTGCCGTCGGTCCAAGCAGGGGCAGTACATAGCTACGTACACCACCCGAGACATGATTGTGGTGCGTTTATATTCCACATTTGCCTGTAGCGCGTACTTCAAGGTTGACTGGACGCACGACAGTACACTGTACGCGATTGAGCGACCGACCGCTTCACCACACTTGATGCGACGGGTATATTTTATTACATCGCTGGCCATAACAAGTCCACGTTTCGATACATCGGTCTGCAGGATTAATATTTCTCGGATCCAGCCTTATTAAATGAAACGACGGGCGGCGCCGATGGAGTAGCCCACGCTGGCCTCTTTGTCGAAGGCGTCACGAGACCGAATGCATGCACGATGCATGCGTAGTATATTCGTGCACCGACCGCTCCTGCACCAACGTGAGGAAGCGCTCGGTCCCACGTCTTGTTGCGGATTGTTGGCATGTTTGGTTCCGGAGGAAACGATGGTACCACAGCTGGCTGGGCTTCTATCGGGAGCAAGTAACGCGTCAATACCTCCAGCGGCAGTGAGACTGACCCATCATCAAAATGCATCGTTACATCGCGCCACAAACGAAACGGCCAAGCAGGGCTGTCGTCGAGGACGGCTTCAACAAGGGCTGTGTGTGCTTCTCTTCGGGCCGTACATCTACCACAGAGGTTGGAATGTCCAGCGCCAAGCGCAGGCGGTGACACACTGCTATCATTCGTCGCTAGTGCGTGTATCGGCGGTCGCAGCGTGGCTTCTCTATGATATTGAAGTACGTGTGCAGCCGCTCTGAAAGTGCTGGCTTCATATCTCGATGGAATGGAAGCCGCGACGGCTTTAAACGCCGCCTTCAACGTCGTCAAAGGTGCCGTGCACCTCGGGTCGGCGACCTGGTCCGGCAAATTTTGGGCGACCACAGGAGATTCCTTCTACAGGGTGCGACGCGTTGACAAGGCGAGAGGCGTCCTCGAGTCGCAACGTGCACACATATAGCAGAGTTGCACGCCTTCGTCTTCTCATTGAAGTGGCATCGACATTTCCATCGACTAGTTCGACTCGTTGTACCAACGAAGACAACGCGAAACACCTTCATATGCAGGTAGTGGGGCAGAGCACTGGTTGTTCACACACAAGTGTAGTCCGACCCTCCTCGTCTGTTTCGTGGCTGGTGTGTAACACCGTTGAAAAGACGGTCGCATCGCCGCTTGCAGCGTCGACGCGATGCTTGCTCCCGACGGAATCGAAGCCATGCTCGGTGCGGTGTCATCGCAGAAAAAGATCGAAGATGAAATCCCTCTAATCCGCGACAAGCACGAGAAGCAGCTGGGTTTGAGTGCCTCCTCACCGAACGCTGGTGCAGTAAAGTCGGCCGTGCTTCGGGTCCCATGGCGTGTATCGATGACAGCTACGGACGATCGCTGTTGCGGAGTGAGGCCCATACTCGCCAAGAAGGCAACTGCAGCCACGCGGGTCGTCGACGGCGGCCGGAGTTTCGACGCTGCCCCGCTCAGCCCGCGTTGGCTACTCGCACCTCGCCGTCACCGCTGGCTACTCCCAACACGCGTTCTTTCTTTGGACTCTCGAGAGCTCACTCGCAGATTTGCAACCTCAAGCGCCATGGCCACCACCGCCGAAGCCCTCCTCGAGGAATTCGAGGTACGCGAGTGTTCGCGCTTCATCACGTCCTCACTGTCCTTTAGGCAGACCTTCAACACGACATCGAGGTCCTGAAGCTCCACAACGAGACCGGACGGTTGGAAGGACGGTACGCCCAATGCTGCTTGTCGTGACCCCACGGTATGCATGATTGTGTAGGGTTCGCACGATCCAGTCCAAGGTCGATGCCCTCGCCCCGATCAACGGCGAGCAGATTGCGCTCGCCACCCGTGCCTACGAAACCCGCGGTACGTATGGACTTTTTTTGGCTGCGGTTCACCTCCAGATGTACGTTTACATGTCTGCGTTGTTCATATCGACCAACACACGGTAGCGCCTTCGATGGGCTCCGATGCGCGGTCGCCCAACAGCTCGCCGGGCCTTCGCCTCCCATCGGTGCGGTCGTCTTCCGGCCTTTTTCACGGTGACGCGGGACATGATTCGTGCCGCCAACGATCTGGCAACGGTACTACCATTTACGCTACAATAGTGTGTTTAGCTTGATGTAGCTTTACTGCTGCGAACGCTCCGCCGAATACACGATGTTGCACGACGTGGTCCTCATGGCGACGTTCAACAAGTTCAAGGCGGTCGTAAAGACCGAATGCTGCTGGCCCTTCATTGCGCACTTCCTGCGCAACCGCGGCGGCCACAACGGTCTCCCAGACTTGCCCCTCTTTGCGGACGCGGCGATTTTTACCCAGGAAACGATGCACGCTCGGTACGTCGCTTCTGTCGTTGCTTGACGAACGTATCATCACGTCCTTTATCTATCTAGACACACGCGCATCGAGAAAATGATCCGGTATAAAAGTCCGACCCTCACAGCCTCAAGGCATACCTCAACAAGGCCATCTGGACCGAAGGTCGGTCTTACTATGCGTGGTACATTTTTTCAAATCGAAACAACGTGGGATCCTAACAATGCGACATAGTGACGACAAATACCGCAGATACGTCTACGTCGCTGTTGCGTGCGAGTACATCGCGGGGCTTTAGCGCCGAGCACTCTGCCGCCCCGGCTTCGAACCTTTCGTATTTTGCATGTTGACGCTAAAGTGAATAAACTTGAAAAGCGTTTTTGGTTGTTTGCCGACAACTAGACCCCGACGGTGTGGGAGATGCAATGGTGCGATCGACAAGAGCCGACGCTGCTAAAGCTACTTAATCTCTAGCACGATAGGGCGAAAATCGCCAATGGCCGGCAGAAGAAATAGCCCTTGCATCCCAGCGACGTCTGCCGACTCGAGGGGACCATCCTTACGATGCAGCAAATAGATCGCACGCGAAGAAGAGCCAATGCGTGGCGCTAGTCGAGCCAAGGTAAAAGATCTCGTGCAGCGTTGGTTGTTCTCGACGGAAAAAACCCTCGCTTCAACACGTAGAACGCGAATCGGCGCCAGTGTACGCACTGCTTATTGTGGCGGTGCGAAAACGCATCTCATCCCGCTGAGCTGCCGTACAAACCACGGGCGCTGACGTGCGGTTTTGGTTTGATGACAGACGTCGCGTCGCTCGTGAACGAGTCTTTGCCGCCGCCACCGCGTAAATGGGATTCGGACTCGACGAGCACTCAAGATCGATTTAGAGGATGGATCGGTCGTCGGCTCGATCGCCAGCAAGCCCCCGAGAGATGTGTGATCTGGCCTTCTTCTAGATGAGCCGGATCGGCGGCGGTCAGCTCAACACAGCCTTCTTCGTCGTTGCCAGTGTCCATGGGGCTCAAGCAAACATAGCTCACCGCGCTTGTGGCTGCTCCCAACCAGTAGTGCCCATACGTCGCTGTTTCCTGTCTTTTTGTTACCTAGTGTGTTGGCGTGTATCTTGTCATGCAGCCGAGAGACGTGGCTGGGTTAGTCCATCTCGAGCAACGTGCAGCCAGAGAACCGGTTGTCGTCTTTCGCTCTTCGAACGCCGAGCACGTAGAGTGGGGGCAAACAAGAGTATCTTGGCGCCCGCCAGCCATGTTGAGAGTGGAGCCTCAAAGAATGCGACAAGTACTCGGCATTTGCTCGCCTGTAGAGCCAAGAGATTGCAAGACGCAAACTGATGCCAAAGCCAGGCGCTCGTCTGTGTTTTGGAGACAGTACCGGACGTTTGTATCGCCAAGGAGCTGTTGCTGTTGAGCTTCGTGACGTGGACGCATTGTTGAGGCTGCGCTTGTCCTCGTCGAGACCACGCAGCTTGTTGCGCCCGAGAACAGGACCAACCGTTATGAGGCTGCGCATACCACAACGCAAAGCTGGTGGCAAGGCTAGTGCATTGCCTGCCGAGCGCGATCGTCGCCTTGATTTTGGAGACGCAGAGAATGACAAGCGAGCATGCCCGCAGCCCCACAGATGAGGCAGGTGTGGTGCTGGATATCGCTGCGCCCCTGCTTGCTAGGCGGTGGGCCGGGAGAAAATCGAGTAGACGCGAGTCCTGTGGTTGGTGCAGTCCACGTGCCTTTGATTACCTCGAGTGACCGCATGCCGTGAAAACACGTGCATCGTCAACGATGGAGATATGATAGATCCGTTGTGGCAGCGTCGCGGTATTAGAGCCTTCCCCAGTGACCTTGCGTCCACCGAGGCCGCCCGAGCATCAGAGGCGGTTGCAACGTTTTCCTCCGCCGTCGGGGACCGAGGCGTGGAATGTTGTGTCGTTGCTGACCGACGTGGGATGCGTCGGATCCCCCTCGTGGCACCATATGCGTCAGCCGCTGTTGGTGTTGCGCAATCGCCGTCCGCAGTGTCGCCGCGGCGAGCCATGTCGTCGCGTAGTCGTGATGGGGCTTTTCAGCGCCGCGGTTGCCGTGCGACGTTGTTGTCGACAGCCCCTGAGGAGCGACATGCGTGTCGGGTTGACGCCGGCGTTGTCGTATCGGCGAGGGTGATGACTGAGCAAGCCGCCGCCGTCGCCGATCAATGTTGTACCAGCCGTCGCCGTCGTTGTCATCCAGTATTAGTAGAGTCATGCCGTGCTGTCGCTGTAGCCGTGAGCACGCATGCCGAACCGATTGTCGTCGTACATGCCTTGAGAGAGTGATGTATCGTGTCGCCGCTGTGTGACCAAGTGCCACGATGCCACAATAGTCGCCGAGAAGCTTCTTGCGGTGTCGACGTCGCTGGTGTCGTCGCCGCGCCGTGTCGATGAGCAATGTCGTGTTGTGTCGTGGCGAAGGACAACGCGCAAACATTGAGCCGCCGCCGGGACGAGAATTGCCCATCATACAGCTATTTGTTGGCTTGATGCTACGCCATGTTGAGGTGCAGTCGTGGCCTTCACGCCGCCAGCCAGCTTCGTGCCGTGTTGTGCCGTGCCGACACCGCTGCAGTCGCAGCCGAGCTGTTGGACATCGAAGCGCCGCCGAGAGTTGGAGGTGTTGACCTGGCCGTCGTCGTAGTCGTCACCGCACAGCGCCGTGTCGAATCACCGCCGCAAACGCCGTCACCAACCCGTGAATGACGTCGAGCAGTGTCTTTCAGGTTCGTTGCGGGCCGACCCCGGCAGTGCTTCCACTGAAGGACCATGCCCGAGCTGCCACCGAGACTAGGCGGTGTCGCTAGAACCGTCGCCGTTACCATGGCCGACATCGTGGACCGTCGGGGTACATGAGCTGCCACCGCGGACTTCGCCGTGCGGTCAGACAGAGTCGTGCAGGGCCGCCGACGCCGTCGTTGTCGCCGAGCAAAGTTGCCCGAAATGCCGACTTGAGTAAGCGGTGTCGACTCGACCGTGGCTGCACCTGTCACCGACCAGCGCCGCGTTGGTGCTAAATATATCTAGGCCGAACAGTGCTGCCAAACCACCGCTGTGGCGAGCGGTCGTCGCGACAACGCCGCGTTTAATTTTTTGGAAGCCGCCGGTGCGCAAGTCCTGCCCATGTTAGAAATCACACAGCGGCTACCGATCTAGACCAACAGAACTACTTACTTTGCACATATTACTACTGGTCTAGCTTACATAACGAACAATATCACTTTCATATTTGCGTTCTACTACACACATCTCGGACCGTGCCACGGTACAGCACACTGCGTGGCTTAGACTTCTTACACCCCATGCCGATTTGCTCTGGGTACGCGTCATCGTCCATCTCAAAAACGTATGTCCAACGACAGTGCTTTGTGTAGGATGCACTGAACGCTCGCCATGATCACCTCGCCCGGCAAGCTCATGGACCCGCAAGCTTGCCGGGCGAGGTGATCTTGTCGAGCGTCCAGTGCATCCTACACAAAGCACTGTCGTTGGACAGACATTTTTGAGATGGACGATGACGCGTACCCAGAGTTGATCGGCATCAAGAAACCTTCGATTTTGCCAAAGAATATGAAGGCGGCCTCGTCGGGCTGGCCCATGGTGACCCATGTCGTGTAGGCTCCCGAATCCATCTACCGAAACAGGTTTGGCTTGCGGTCATATTCCTCGTACAGCAACCTATTCACACTTTTGAAAAGACATACGTACTGTCGCCGCCTACTGTGCGAGCCCAAACGCGACAATCGTGTCGTTGAGCATCCCGTTGGACCCCAAGTCCGCCAAGTGCGATTGATGGACATCGACGCGTGGACGTTTGGACAAATCCGGCGGATACTTGAGGATGACGGGGTTGTTGTCTGCACAAACATGCAAGTTAGCAAGAAGCGCGCATCGTTCGTCGTGCCTTGGTTCGTGGCATTCACGACGGCCGGGTTGTCTCCAGGTTCTACGTTGACACGCGAATCACAACAAAGCGGCATGTGTCGTCATACCGTTTTGAGCGGCCTGGTTGACCATCATCGGCTCTTCCTACTCCAGGCCGTCGTCCCCGTCGTCTATTGGTCGATACGCAAGTTGCAAAAGCCCTCTTGCATGCTCCTACTACCTTGGTCGATTTGCGCGTCCGCGACAAGAATGCGACCTAGGTTGATTTGCAAGACGTAAATAAAGCTTCGGGTACAGTCGTCTTTTGTTGATCTGGATCGGGTTGGCAGGCACGATACGACCTAGGACAACGTCGTAAAGAAGCTTTCTGCACCGGACAGTCGAACCATCGTTGCCAAGAGCGAGCCCTTGATGAGAGCAAAACAGCTTCACCCACACGGTCACGCACCAACGGCGATAGTTGGACTTGGAAAACGTCTTGTACGCCACCGCCTTTCTCAGCGGCGCGCAAAAGTCTGGAAACGACGCGCCGCTTCCGAGAACATCGGCGACCTCGTCATTGATACGCTCGACGATCTGCGCGCAGTTCTCAAGACCTCGCGGTTCACGCGGCGGTTGTCGATAAAGTTGCTTCTACACAACGCGATCTCGTGAGGCCTCGTACTGTCATCGCGGGGTACCTTTGCTGCGCGCTTCTTCGGATCGCTCTGCCGACCATCTCGGTCAATTCGGAAAGCCGTTCGCGATCCGAGACAAGTCCCCAGCTGCCCGATGCGACCGTCAAGCACACGTCTTGACGGAACGCCCACAACCCCGTCCCCTAAATCCGATCTTGAGAGGCACGCATAATATCGAGTCCAAGCGATACGCTAAGTCGAGCCGGTCGCGCGCGCTGTCCAAATGCGCGACGATGCCTCGATACCGTTCGACCTGCAGCATTAGCTATGTTCCATCGACGAGTGAGACGCACGCACAAGCACGGATCGGATCGTATGCACCTCGGCTTCGTCTTCGTCGTCCTCGTCGGCTTCATCTTCGTCGCTGCTCTCGTCTTCACTGTCAGGTTGAGGTTCCGCCGAGCATGGTATTGGTGAGCATCGACAGATTGCTGTACCCGCATACCAAGAAGGCGTCCTAAGCAATCGCTTCCATCGCGGCCACGTGCTTCGCGTCGCAGGACGGCGCGTAGTCGCGTTCCCAGCGAAAACGGTCGGCGCCAAAGTATTTCGCCAAAGATTTCGCAAAATCCGTGACGAGGCCCGTAAGGACACGGTCTTTCATCGTTTTGGGACCAATGACACGAACGTCGACCGTGTTGCTGTCGTCGTTGTGGCGCATGAAGACCGCAAGACGCCAATGACATCAACGCATCGATCACGTAGGCATAGGGCGAAGGTGTTGCAGGACTTACCCGTCCTCGTCCCAGGCAGTTCGCCGTTCAACTGGAACTGCGTAAACGCGTTGGAGGCCAGCAGGCAACACGACGCGTGATCCGGGCTCGCACGGAGCAGGGCATGCCGGCATGAGCTTCCGTCGTGTTGATCCCGAGACCAACCGCAGCACAGTGTCGACGTCGTCATACGTTTCGAAGTTGCTCCCAACGCTACGCTCACGTTAGGCCTCGTTTGGCGCAATTGCCGTTGTGCTACGTACTCATGGTCTGGCGGCTCGACCGCGTTGTCGGGCGCGTTGTCGGCAGCGATGCGACGGATCGCGAGCGCTTTTTTCGAGTGGATGTGGATGAACAGCGACGTAGCATGTCGACGTGTTCCCGGACTATGAGCATCCATCCCGGACTATGAGCATCCATCGGCATGAGTCACAGTGCCGCGTACTTTGACATGTCGGCCTGCAGCGCTCCAATCGAGCTTCTCGCGCCCGGGCGTTCAAGAGGTGTCTTGTCCTCGGCCACATCGGCAGGATTGCTGATATTGCGATCGAAAGTTGCGACCCTACGACGAGTCCGTTGTACAGGAGGCTATTAGAGTCGCGTACTTGGTTGATAGATCACCTGTCGAGTCCAAGAGTCTGTTGCGGCACGCGAAAAGGGTGTTCCGCGTCCGTGTCGCCTGGACGAATTGGTGCGCCGCTCGAATTTCGATGATGCGGCCGATCGAGCAACCAGACCAGTACTACATGATGACACAAACATGTAGGAGCGCAATGTCATCGCAGTAGTGAACCTTGATCGCCTTGAAAGCTTCCAGGCTCGCTGCGTCGACCGCGGTTGCACCATCGACGCCGTCCACTTGTGCCTCTTCGTTTAGAGTCGCGGCGATGGCTTCGTTGTCGGATTCGTCGCCTTCACTTGCGTCGCCCTGCTCGTCGACGGGTGGCGCACGTGGTTGCGCTACGAATAGAAATGCCCGCGTTGCATGGGTTGATGAAACGCACCACGGTGGAAGCACAAGTGGGGACCGCCGCCCTCGAAGGTACACAATCGATGCACGACGTTGGAGCAACCTAATCGTTCGTTGACAGAGATCGTCGCATCGAGCGGCACTACCTTGCGTCGCGCACTCATACAGACGTATCGTGTCGACTTCTTGGCAAGCGGGATTGCTGCAGGGCTGCATCTTGTGCGGTGCAAGGATGTGAATTGGACTGATTTTTAATCTTGCAAACTGTATTAGAAGTATGTATACTCGCATGGATTCCCGCGCTTGAGCGATCGCTCGCACTTGATGCATGGAGCTCGGCGGGAATATTTTATTCCATCGCTGATCGCCGTAAGCCCACTTGGTGAAACATCGGTCTGCAGCATCTAAAGAAATAGACGTCCAGTCGTCGGTCGTCATGGTGGCGACCCATGCCGCGACGCTCGTGGCCGCCGCCTTGGCGACTGCTGCATCGTGCCAGCACACGTTGTCCGAATGCTTGTTGTGCTCCACGTGATGGATGCTCGCAAAGAAGAGACAAGTGAGTTAAAAGAGTAAAGTCATTTATTGATCTTGTATATCGCAACAGCTCTCTACCTTTCTGAATCAAACAACCAAGAAGAATACTTCGAGACAAATCTACACGCGCTCTCAAGTACCACTATAAATAATAGTACACAATCTTCGAACTATCCTAAAACGACACCACGGGCCGCAGTGCCTCTATGGGATCCAGCAAGAGAGCCATCACCCGGCGCCTACCAGGCGCTGTTGTCGTTGCCGCCACGGTTGCCG